TAACGACGCGGCGGCGGCGGTGGCGGCGGCGAGGGCGCTCCTGTTCTGCTCACGCTGCTACAACAGGGGGTTGGACAACAAATTATTGGCGGGCACGTTTCGCTTCTAATAAAGCAATTAATTTTAAAAACGATTTGGTCCGTAAATTGATACAGAAAAGATGTAATTTATGTAAAATGCAAGAGTGTACAAGTTAGAACCTCGAATATGTTCCGATATTGATAAGTAGCAATTAAGCAACAGAATGTGCAGCTTGAATGTTAGATATGGCAGATGTTAGGCCGGTGACCACTTTGGATGTGTTCTTTTTTATTATTGACCGACTTCCCAAAAGAAGGAGGTACTCAATTCGTCTGTATGTTTTTTGTTTTTTTTTTGTTTATGTTTTTGTAACGTCTGCAGAGTTCTCTGAGCATACTGGGACATGCAAACTAAAACAAGCTTCTGATTCTCGAACAGAATGTAAGCAATCATACGATCTGCCACTGTCCTCTGAGTTGAACTAAAAATGTTTTTTTATTTGATGATTGTATGTCCCAATTTACAGTTAAAATGGCTACAGTTATTATAGTAATTATGTAATTCAAAGCTAGTACAGAGCGCGGCCGCCATCGGCGTAACACAAGCTAACATTAATTTGTACAAAACAAATTTTGTAGCGAAATTCACAGCGTGACCTCTTGTTTAATGGCGCACATTATCTAACATTGTGATACCACAATACGAAATTTAGAGAGCAATTAGTATCCGTGCTCGCCAGCGCCAGCTCTCGGTGCATAACTCCCCTTATCTGGTAATCAAATCTGCAGCTGGTTGGCGGTAGGCTGTGTGATGTCAGCAGTCTACAGCGTAGCTACACAACAAGCCAGCCAGCCCGCCTTCGCATTTTACAATTTGAAACAGACCTTACGCGCCGCTGTCGCCCAACTGTGCAACTAATTGTTATTTAAGTTCGCAGAATTTAACTTTATTAAAATAAATGTGACAATATCCCTTCCAGTCGCAATGACAGGCTCACGTAGCGGTTGACGTAGATTTGAGGGTAGGGGCAGCACCGATTGCGTAGCAGTGAATTTAAAATACAAGACTAGCGATTCAATTTTAGGTTTAAGTTAAAGAAAATCCAAAATTTTGATTTATTGTAAAATTATTAATTAGCATGATACATTTATAGGTGTATTCCTGAATTTAAGGCAGAGGGGTGTAAACAGAAAATAAGTGTTTTCAATAAAGGGACGCTGGTTGGCAAGATTTCTTCAGTAACGTCGTAAAATATTCATCAGGCGGCTGCTAGAGGGCGACGCGGCGCGGGCGCAGTGTCCGAGGGACAGGGGACACCCTTATTCAATATTTCTCCAAATTGCCGACGATATCAACCGCACTGCGACCGCAAGCAATGAGCAATGCATGTATTTTTTTCGTTTTAATGGGAGAAACCTATCGAATAAGCAATACTAACATTTGTAAATATTAGCCGTTAAAATGGAAAAAAAAAACGCTTTAATATCAACAACACATGTATTCAGGAAAATTAAGTATTATAGAGATTTATCTTACGACTTATCTTCTTTGACAAATTATAATTTACCGAAGATCGGCTAACAATTACCTGTAACATCAGCCGGAGGTCGCAGCTGGCGGCGCGGCGCGGTGCGGCGGCGGCGCGGTGACAAACGAGGCGTAAAGCTATTTATGGCACCGCGATCTCGTGACACCTCCCGACGCCCCCAATAAAACCAATTTCATCTACTCACCACATAATGACGAGCTGGGTGGCATCAGCGTGGCATTAGCCCTCCGCGCTGTGTGTCGGCGGCGGCGGCGGGCGAACAGCCCGGGCCGCTTCCGGCCAATACCCGCGTCTCGGCGTCGGAAAGCCGCCGCATTGGGTGCCGTGAATTGACGCGCGACCAGTCAGTTGATCACAGTTAACTTACATTTATACTAAAAATACATAAAATTATGTGTTTTGTATCATTAATAAAAAAATTCCATACGCGAATAAAGCAATACCATCTCTGTCCGCCAGTTTCTTCAGGTCTTATTCATAAATTAACTAAAAATTAACTAATCAATGTATCGCAAAAAGCTTCGGGTTAATGGAAGATAAAGTACTCGTGTATCAAATAAACCACTTCGAGTGTTTTTGTATTGTACTTTCGTTGTTGTATTGCAGATATATAGTGATATTTACAGAATTAGGCACATTTTCAAAAAATAAATCTATCGAGAAAAGTTTGTCCAATCGTAATTCTGTTCCACGAGCCTTTAGTTAAAGGACTGAAGTTACACATACTAAAATATCACGAATCAAATCATTGTAGAAATCCTGTTCTATGCCTCCAAAGATGCGCAATTTGCCGTAACCGCCCCTTAAAACGAAGCGCCAAAATTCGTTAACCATAATCGATATGGTTTCTCACTGCTAGTGTCGTATTTAGCGAGGAATAACAACAATAATTTCGTAGCAGTTGTTACAGTTTAGAGTTAAGTAAGAATAATTACACGCTAATTGTTATTAATCTGTATTTCGGAATGAGGGGAGAGAGGCACGGGGTGTCAGGGCGGGGGGCGGGGGCGGTAGCGGGTCTCCAAACTTCGTAACATAGATACATCAGTCATGTCAGTGCTTTAGTTTCACAAATAACACAAATGTAAATATCACTATTCTATATCAAAACGACGTTGATCATTTAGGTAAATGGTAAATGCTGGTGTTTGCGACAGAGCCTGCGCCGGCGACAGCGGCTACCAATGTCCACTTATATTATTCGTTACTATTTTGCTAAGATCATTGGAATGTAGTTACGTCGCAGATTGCCAGTTTGAA